GTGGGGTGTGGGGTGCGGCTATCAAATTTTTCCTCCAGTCATGAGCAAAATACCAACTTCATAGAATTTAAATGAAATTACTTTGGGATAAAATGTATTCTTATCTCAAAGTTTCAGTCTGTTTTAATTCTATTAGGGAAGATTAACATCAAGTTTCGAATTGCAATCAGTAGTTAAAAAGTCTAGACTTAAAAAGAAATGAAGTGGAAGATTGACTCTTATGGAAGTGCATATTTTGCGTTGGAGTATCCAACGACAGTCCCATATTTAGGGAGTGCATGGGTTGTAGGATATTGATTAAGCCCTGTTATGCTAATATATAGCATTGGTCATGATTGATGCCTGTCAGTGTGTTGACACAAATGGAACTAGCTTGCTTGGTTCTAGGAATGATCTCTCCAACCTATCTCTGTGTATATGTATATATAGTTAATAAAAGTTCACTGGCATGAAGACCAACTTGTTTCTCTTTGTATACCTCAATACCACCTCACACCGAGATTTATAGAAATTAAAACACAGAAGGGGGCCATTTGACCCACTGCACTCATGCTGAAAATGAAATAACAATCTTTGGCAGTGTTAAAGTGGAAATACATCTGTTTTCCCCAGTGATTTTTCTTGGGGAGCACAAAGTTAAATGTATTTTTGTGCTGACTTAGAATGAGAGATATTAGTTGTAGGAATTAATATCAATAGGTAATCACGCAGAATTATTTTGCCATTTAAGTATAACCTATGCAAAAGTGTGAACCTTTTCTCATTCTGCTACTTTACCCCTGTAAACAAATGTTGTTCCCAATGTTGACCAGTTCAGATGACAAGGAGTTCTATTGTTACAACATACCTCAGACTCAATTCTGGAAGAGCCTATTAATCCTTATCACTTATTACGCCATTTTCTCATTTCCTGAACCAGCCATCCCTCAGGCATCTCTGAGTCAGATCATCAATTCACTGCCAAACTGTGGGCAGCTTTGTACTCTGCATTTGCACCACAAGGAATGGAGTTGAGAGCTCTCAGTGTACAGCCACTGCAGAGAAATGAGAAATTACAGCCCCAAGGGTGTAAAGACCCTTTGCTAACTTAGAAAAACACCCACCTTCCTGATTAATGGCACAGTATCAGAAATATCTATGGCTGCAATGCAAACAAATGTTCATGATTGTATAGTTCTCCACTGTTTTTCATTTAGAAGAAAAAAAACAAATTCACACCCCACTCACTGGCCTTTATGTGCTGGTGAAATTTTAAAAGTTAACAATGAATGAGGAAGTAATAAAAAGATGTGTTGGCTTCCAATTCTCTTTCAATTGTAATCTTTAAAGCTTCAAAACTTAGATTAATAGGTCAGAATGGATATGTTGTTGGAGATGAGAGAGAACTTTCTTCGTGAATCAAAATTTGATGAATTCCCTCCCTGCCACCCGATCTGCATTTATTAATCTATCCCAAGGATTGTGGGGTAAAATTTGCTTGGGAGGATATGCAAAGTATTCAACATTGAAATGATAGCCTCTGTAAACACTCTCTTATTTTCCATTAAAGTCAACACTAAAAAAAACCAGACAGCACTAGATTCGGAGCTGCTTTGGCATCCTTTGTTTTGTGGTGATGCCCAAGAAAAATAATCTCATTTGTTTTCCCACAGATTTGTCCCCCACTAGGCTGTCTGAAATTGGATTCAAATTCATTTCTTGCCCCATTAACTCTCTTGGGTGTGGTGGTGCAGATCACTGCTGTAAGTGCTCTGAACATCTTGCATTCAGGGGCATGCTCTCATTACTTAGGAGTATGATGAACAATAGGACTGCTTGTGATTTAAGCAGGAAATCATAGGGTGAAATTGGTCTGTACTAGTAGCCATGTGACAACCTTACTGCAAACAGCCAGCCCATTTTACACCACACCGGATTTTCAAAGAAATGGAAGATTGACCTGTTGTTTAATGGGGCTGTTAATTCACTGGAAATCTCCTTTTCGTGTTACTGGCAGAGACCAATTTCACAGCCACAGTATTTTCCCACAGAGAGTCTTTCCTGTGCTTTTGAAGGCAAACTAAAAGCATCAGTAAGATGCCAGTTTGATTTGAATGACTAAACTAATATACTTTACAGTCAACAAGTGAAGTTACAGAGAACTGGTTTTGATTGAACTCACTTGGTTTGCATAGTAATACAAATAATAAGTGTTATGAATGTTCACTTTAGCAGGTTGCCCTACATGACTTAACCAAATAATTTCTCACTGCTGTCCCACATTCTCACCTAGAGGGTTGGCAATGGTCTGGAACTCACTGCCTTAAAGGATGGTAAATGTAAAGTTATCATAGAGGTCCATAGGGCTGCTCTCCCATTAAAGACCGATGACTAGTGTTGAGTTTGAGCTGACAGACACCTCACCTCAGGTGAGGGGGGAGGTTGAGAGGCAGGACCTTCATGGTGGCCTCAGCTGGTGTTGGTATTAGCCTGCATTGTAAACCAGCCGTCCAACCAACTGAATTAAGTGACTCCCACAGTGAAAGGGTGGTAGAGACAAAAAGACACATTGTATGTTTTTTAAATATTCTAATCTGTGCTTGCTTTAGCATGAAGGACTGGAGATCAAATGTGGCACATAAATGATGGGCCACATTTTCTAGGTTTCATCTCTTTGCTGTTTCTGTCCTAACTTTCTGATGTTTTAAGAAGCCTACTCAATAAGCTTTCTGGTTCTTTTTTAAAAAAAAATGTCAGTCTGGGTCTTTGCCCCAATTCTTTCTCACTGTGTTCACAAAGCAAAAGAGTAGGACTACGCAACTACTGGCCTAGTGCCTAGGAACTGGGACTTCCCAACAAAGTGTGAGGTTTATTGATCACAGACAATAGTTAATGAATTGCTTATTGTTTTCATCCTTTAGAGCAACAACTTTAATGCTTAGCTGCTTCACATTTTTCTACTTTTCATCTGTGTCTTTTTTTACAATTTGCTTAAAGACACACATAATTTTAAAAGTAGCTTGTTTCCAAATCTTTTCAGTGAAGAAATAGTCCAAAGAAATCTCTAAATATGACACAGGCCATACCTTCCGTGAACTTGAGTGTATCTCCCTACCATTCCATCCACCCTCAACCATCTAAGTTCCACAGATCGGCTCCATGTTGACCAGTGGGAAAAAAAAATTGTCAACCCCTACCTCCTCCATCACATATAAGTAACATTGGCTGGATTTATACCCACTGTCCAGTCACAGGTTAAATGAATAATAGCCACTAGGTTATTAGTAAAAGTCCCAGAACCTTGAGGGGCCCATCTTCTGATTGTTGCAGCAGGATGTACAAAAAATATAACCTACTGTGAATGTGTTTTAGCTAAATATCTGAAAAGTGCGAAGCAGAAGTATAATTTTAAAGTTGGATACGATTGGATTATTTTAATTGATATCTGTTCAGGAATACCTGTGGCTTTTTTTTATCTTTGGGAAGTATGGAATACATACCTAATTGGTGAGTTTAATGTTTGGCAATGCTTAAGCAGTTTCTAACTACTTGCTCCGGTACACGGAAAGATTGACAGTCCTGCAAGTACATACAATGTGCACCGACAAGGCAAGTCCCTGTGCTTTGGGTTCATATGGACAAGGTGTCTCTGTGTCTTTAGTCAATGTGTCTGGCAAAATGCCATGTCGAAATTTGGATTTTGATTGTACCATTCTGCAATTAATTAAGGCCGTAGCTTGAAGTGATTTGGAACTGCGCTATCATTCTTTCCACTGTGGCTGAGGTAAATTCCCTCCCCGCCCCCACTGATAATGCTGTGAGAATCTTTAAACCTCAAGTTGCCACCTCCACGTTTCGGTGCACACTGTGACTGCCACCTCAAGCAGCCTGGGAGCCCAGTGCGCTGCTCACTGCGCTGTTTGCCTGTTCAATGAGCTCACGCAGGTCACTTTTTAAAGCACGGGGGAGGAGGAAATATGTCAGAGCTGATGCAGAGGTTGCATAGCAGTGGCCTTTCTCTTCCCTCTCAACAGCAGCAGAGTCAGGAAACTGCAGAAATCCCTGGCAACAGTCCATCCCCCATCAAGCTTCTATTTTTCTTGTCTGTATAGTCAATTAAAAGCAGCTTTATTCCCTGCCCATAGCTAGAATTGAAACCTTCAAAGGTGCAGCAATACTAGACAATATTCTGCAAGAATTTTTTTATATTAGTTATCACGGTTTTTCTTTTATGTGTTATTGTCACAAAATACATTGGAAGTAAATGGGCTTTTTTCAGTGATTGCTGCTTGTTTTGCTACTTGATATAAAACTATCTTGGGTAGAAGAAGTGTTTCAGATGATGTACAGTCTAACGCAGCCCAGCGAAGGTATGCTGCAAGTATATTTTAAACACAACCAGGATAACAGGGGGCTGGGATGCAGTCTATTTAGATCCACAGCCACCTTATTTTAACCTCATTCCAAATACTTTCACACGGCTCTTCAAAACAGAGACTTCACAAGCTGCAAGAGGTATTTTCGACTTGTAAGCTGTAGCCACCCAGGTTTGTGGGTAGCTCTTCGTAAGACAGGAGGCTAGACAGGGTTGCAGAGAGAAAGACAAATTAATTTGCTGAATTGAAGCAATAATGTTACTTTGCAGCTTAACATTCCAGACGCAAATGAATAATCAACAGTTCCAATATTTTGGGGACAGTATTTATGTATATATTAACTACCTATGTCCATTCCTATGTTTATGTTTATATTTACGTAGATGTTTTATATATATATATAATCTATAACATTACATATGCACATAACAGAGAGCATATACTGCAGGCCCACGGTGATATTAATGCTGTAAACTGACTAGGCTGCTCGGAAACCTCCTACAAAGGGGCCCCTGTGTAATTCGATGCATGCTGGTAAGGCTTAGGGTATATTGTCCTCTGTTGTTTAGGAAGCCTCCACCCACTGGCCCACCCTACATTAAGCAGATCATGTGACTCCGGTAAGTCATTTGCAAGTACAACAGTCCTCTGTGCGCCCCCATTCATTTCCTGCAAACAGCAGCTGAGTAAGAAGAGACACTGTATAAGGGAAGGAAATATTTCTCCTCTGCAGCTTTCTACCAGGTCAGCGCTTTATATTCTTTATTCTCCATTCTTTGTGTTGAACTGGCTCACTGCTAAAGGCAAAGTCGACTGTCGGATTCCGTGGAGGAGGCATGTTAGATAGGAATACAAGCGAGACGCGAGTTTAATTCTAACAGTTCTTTTACTGGGCAGAAGGCTCAGTGGCTTGAATGCAGCTGTTGGTCTGTGAGCATTAAGAGTCAGACGGGCTACAGATGTGGGAGTGTCAGTAAAAGGAAGGCAAGCTAATGTCATCTTCAGCAACCTCAGTGCTACATCCCGCAATCGGTAGCAATGATGCGTGCGCGACTGTCACTCGATAATGCTTCGTAGCCAGAGCTAGAGCTGCAAAAGCTGCTTGTGTTGGATTTTAGTGGACTTTTAGAGTTGACAAGTAGACACTTTCAGAGATTGGCAGACAGAGTCGCTGTTTAAATGCAACTAGAGGAGCTGGCACTTTGCAGTCTAGGAACGCTAAAATTAAAGTAGGAGTGCTATTCCCTGATGGTATTAGGTCGTGCTAATGCTATATTACCATGTGTCTGGTGTCAAAAACTGTCTGGCTTTACTATTCACAGTCACAAACTTGTTCTGGTCAACAACATCCTTTGAACATGCATGTCTCTGCACATTTTCAGCGTTGTATTTAGCATAAACCTTGACCTTCTCACCTTTTGACCACTGCTTGTTAATGTTTACTTTGGCTGCAGCAAAGCTATACATAAGGGGGAGTGACTAAAAATGCACACGTATTCCTCTATTCTGGTAAAAAACAAAGTAGAGACTTAAAGAAGAATGAAAATACATATTTCTGCAATCCATTAGCTTTTATTTTAGAGTTTTATGTGGATCATGCAACCATGATCATTTTGGTCAATATGAGTTGAATAATGTATTTTTGTGCAGCATCTGTTGTACAATAAGGCAACATTAATTTCCTGCTCCGAAGGGTTAGGTGCTGTAAATGGTTGTAGGTCTGTTTTGCAGGAGAAAGGGAGGGAAATGTCTTGGGTGGGGTGTAGAGGCGATGGTGAGGTGTGGGATTTGACTGGCTGAAAGCTAAAGCATAACCAGTCATTGTTTGTCGAACGCTTCTGTGAGAGTTCATCCTAAAACTGTGACAGTTCCAAGCATATTCAACTTGCTGAAATATATTCACTGACTGACTATTGTTATGTATATATTTAAAAAAAATACAGGTTTCTCACTTAACCCATCTCATTACGAAAAAGAAATGCCTTTAATTAGACACCCCAGTTTTTCAGGAAGTTAAATCGGGAGACAGCCCTTAGGTTCTGTAGACTAGAATAAAAACGTAAGGGGAAAGAAAAGCAGAATGGTAACCTATAGTGCACAATAGTTTTTAGTTTTGTTATCATAGTATCGCTCTGTTTGATTATTTCAAAATAAATTCAATCAGAAAACTTACAGTTTCAAGCTTCCATATGAGGGAAGGGGTAAGGACGTAATGGATCAAATGTCACACACACACCCAAAGTTGATCAATTATGTTGAACCAAGACTGGGTTGACTCCCGTGTGGAATAACAGACTCTTCCGTTCTACGAGAAGTACAAAGCGAACCTATGATGTTGCAATGCTTCAGTGTCAGATTTCCAGAATGGAGATGTGAATTTGACTCAAATCTCCACTACTTACTTGAATTATTCTTTCCTTCAACAAGCTGGTCATACGTGCAGGAGGGGGAAGGGATGACATCTAACACTTTTTTCTCATGGAGAACAAGCCAGTGAGGAAGTTCAAGAAGAAATCTATGGGTTAAACCACTTTGCCCCACTTTTAGTGAGCAGGTGAAAGGTTATCTATATTGACCTGGAGAAAATTCTTTCTTCAAACAGACACACAAAATCACCGGGATGGGCATGTTTCTTCTTGATTTCACTTGACAGAAGTGGCAATTTTCATAGTTTGGTTTTGTTTTAATTTTTAAGTGAAACTGAGTCAGTTTGGGAGAAACCAAATCAAATTCACTTCTGCTATTGATGTTATTTATGTCCATGAAATAAGTGTACTTTGATAGGAGCTTTATAATCACCTGTTCTATCAAGCATTATATATTCCTACTAAATGAGGTTTGTTACCTGAACACATCTTGCAAACAAGGTTTGCTGAATAACCTGTAACTCCAGTGATGTGTTATTCTACTAGAAACTACATCTGCAACCAGTTTGCATCTTTGTCCTGATTTTGGTGAGTTGGTGAAAGGTTACCTCTAATCACCAAGAGACACATTAGGAAAAAAGTCAGTTTTTTTAAAAAATTCAATTGCAGACATGGTGTTGGGCATAACACAATACTGTGGATAGAAGATTGGCTGACGGGCAGAAATTACAGTGTATGCAAAAATGATCTTCATCTGATTAGCAACATGTAACAAGTGAAGATCCACAGGGATCTGTGTTGGGGGCTTCAACTTTTTACTGTTTTAATCAATCACTTAGATGAGAGAAGTGAAAGCATGGTAGTGAAATTTGCAGATAGAACAAATATAGCTAGGAAAGTATGTTGTGAGGGAGATGTAAGGAATGTACAGAAGTATATAGATAGGTTGAGTGAGTGGGTGAAAATCTGGCTGTGAGCCAATGGCTGGAAAATGGGTTTAGAATCATGAAATTAGTTGTTTGTCTGGTGTAGACTCGATAAGCTGAATGGTCTTTTCCTGTGCTGTAGACTTCTGTGACTCCATGTGAGAAGATGTGAAGTTGTTTACTTTGGCAGGAAGAATGAAAAAGCAGAGTATTAGAGAGAATGAAGTGCAGAACACTTTAGGTGTTCTAGTGTGTAAATCACAAAACAGTTGGTAATATAGGTACAAGTAATAAAAGTTAATGGGAAACTATTCTTTACTACAAGAGGAATTGAACCTAAAAGTAAGGATGTTATGCATCAGTTTTACAAAGATGAGTGAGACCTCAATACAAGTAGTGTATCCAGTTTGCCGCCTTACTTAAGGAAGGATTTAAATGTGTTGGAGGCTGTTCATTGGAGGTTTACCAGATTGATATCTGGAATGAATGGGTTATCTTGTGAGGATAGGTTGGACAGATTGGGCTTGTTTTTTACTGGAATTTAGACGAATGTTGGGTGACTTGATTGAAATATAAAAGATCATGAATGGTGTTGACAAGGTGGATGTGGTCAGGGTGTTTCCATTTGTGGGTCAATCTAGAATTAGGGATCGCTCCTTTAGGTCAGCAATATGGGGAACTTTTTTTTTCTTGAGGGTTGAGTCGCTTTGGAATGCTTTGCCTGAGAAGGTGGTGGAGGTGAGCTCATTGAATAATTTTAAGGTGGAGGTAGATGGATTTGCATTAAGTAAGGGAATCAGATGCTGTTATCAGGGATAGACAGGAATGTGGAATTCAAAACAGACTCAGATCAGCTGCGACCTTATTGAATTGGAGAGCGAGCTTGAGGACCAAATAGTCTACATCTGTTCCTATTTCATATTTAAAAATCATCAGAAAGGTCACGTTTCTCCCTCGGTACACTTGACAGCAGTCAACCATTTCCATGGTTTTTTTTGAACTTTTTCAATGAATCAGGGTCTGTTTGGGAGAAACCAAATCAAACTTACTTCTGCTTCAAAGTTCTTTATATCTTTGAAATAATTTTCTAGTAGTAGTAGTAGTAAAACTACTAAATTACCTGTCTGTATCTTGGAGACAGGAAGTTTGATGATTAATTCATGACTATAGTAGTATGTTGTGTTTTACCGCTAGAAACTGCGACCAGGTGAGATGCTTTGTTTTGTTCCCACAAGATAAGCCGTTTTACCAGAGTACTTCGTTGTGGGCAGGCACACATCAAGTTTATAATCAACTCACCTGTGACAAACATTGTATTTTGTGCCTTAATTTACTGTTTATGACTGGTTATTAAGGTCAAAGTTGTCATAATTGTTGCCCCTCTATTGACCAGTTTGTACAACTCAATAATTCAACTGAATCAAGCTGGTCTGTGTTAATTCCTCCCTGCTCTAACTCTATCTCACAGAGAAACTACCTGCCTGTAGCATTCCATTTAGCAGGTCCACACTCTGTCACAAAGATAATGAGTTTGTCTGAGAAGCCTTCGTAATTTATACCAACAGAAATTTTGTGGGGTATAATATTTTAAAAGAAAATGGTAACTCTTCCCTAACCATTGTACCAAGTTTCATACCATGTCCTTAAAGCATTTTAAGTGTTTAGCTAGGTTCCATAGTGATGCAGCAGGTAAATAGACCACCAACGTGGTGTTGAGGTACCACATAAAGTTCAAGATTGACCCCTGGACTGTTATTGGCTGGCAGATCTTTAGCTGTGGAACGGAAAAAGAGTATTTGAGTAGGCTTGGGTTTGTTAGCAGCATCTTTGGAATTGTACAAATACTTCCAAACTAGCCCTCCCTCTTCTCTATGCACACAAATGATTGAAACGATTTTTTTTTGTTTTAACAAAATAATTTTAGCAAATTTGGTAGGAGGAGTGAATCAAAGAAGGGGACATAGAATAAGTTTCAGTGGGATAGTACATCAGAACAGTGCCATTAAAATTGAATTCATAGAATCCCTACAGTGTGGAAGCAGGCCATTTGGCCCATTGAATCCACACTGACCCTCCAAAGGACATCCTGCCCAGATCTACCCTATCCCTGTAACCCTGCCTTTTCTATGGCTAATCCACCTACCCTACACATCCCTGGACACTATAAGCAATTTTAGCATGCCCAATTCACCTAAACTTCACATCTTTGGACTGTGGGAGGAAACCGGAGCACCCAGAGGAAACCCATGCAGACACAGGGAGAATGTGCAAGCTCCACACAGACTGTCGTCTGAGGCTGGAATCGAACCCAGGTTCCTGGTGCTGTGAGGCGGCAATGATAGCCACTGTTCCTCCCTGGTAAATTATGGAAAGTAACACAAAATATTCAACGATACCTCAGTGAATTGAATCTGGTTCAGATTAATTAGGAAACCAAAATTGGCATGTTAGGTTACAAATAAACAATGGGAGACTTTTGAGAAGGGGATAGACCCTATCCCTAGTGTAAAATTCAACTTCACGAATTGAGGTTGTCCCTGGCAAGAAAGAGGACAATTCGTGAATTAAGTGGCAGAATCGCCTGGCAAGACCCTTTGGGACGGTTATTTCAATGCAAACTATGCTCCTGCAACTGGATTTGCTGTCCTGGGTTGGGGTGGGGGGATGGGGGGAGGTGAAATATATCTTAAACTGGACTGTTGAGTAAGTCTTAGTTGGTGGAGGATGGATCTGGTAGTCCTCTGACCTGTGTTTTAATAAAGTTCATGTTTGGGAACCTCCAGTAAGGTTAGGATGAGGCTCATTTGATATCTCATTCCCTAATCTTACTGGTGAGGAATATCTGCTTTGTTGAAGTGCTATAAAACTACCAATGTACCATTACAATATAGTAACAATATAGAAACAACATGTCTCCAAAATGAGAGAAGGGGCAGAAGATTGGAAGGAGCAAAATAACTTACTGTATCATCAGCTACATTTATGAGTATCCAAGTACCTAAGAGTCATACAGCATGGAAACAGACCCTTTGCTCCAACTCATCCACAGTGACCAGGTTTCTTAAACTAAACTAATCCCGTTTGCCTGCTTTTGGCTCATAGTTTCTCTAAACCCTTCCCATTCATGTACCTGTCAAAATGTCTTTTAAATGTTGTAACTTACCTGCATCTACCACTTCTTCCTCTGGTAGTTCATTCCTTATATGAACTACCCTCTGTGAAAAGTTGCCCCTCAAGTCCTTTTAAATCTTTCCCCTCTCTCCTTAAACATATGCCTTCTTGTTTTGAACACCCCTATGCTAGAGGAAACTCCTTGGCTATTCACATTATCTGTGTTCCTCATATTTTTATAAACCTCTATAAGGTCACCCCTCGGCCTCCTACGTTCCAATGGGAAAAAAGTCCCAGCCTATCTAGCCTCCTTAACTCAAACCCTCCAGTCCTGGTAATATCCTTGTAAATCATTTTTTGTACCCCTTCCAATTTAATGATATCCTTCCTATAGCAGACTGACCAGAACTGAACACAGTACTCTAAAAATGGCCTTGCCAATATCCTGTTTTGCTGCAAAATGATGTCTCCACTCCAATACTTAACACACTAACAAATGAATGGCAAGCATGCGAAATGCCTTCTTAACCATCCTGTCTACCTGTGACACTACTTGCAAAGAGCTAGTACCCGAATCCCTAGGTATCTCTGTTCGACAACATTCCCTGAACAAGTACATGAGAACAAAAGATTGAATGGCAACTGTATTTAATTGCATGTATGGGTGGTAGCCTTTAGTTGGGGATGTATTTCTGCCCCTAAATGGAAACAACTGAAACTGTGCTCATATGGTTAGGAGGTACTTGCCTGTAACGTGTAAGGCCGTAAATAAGGATTTATAAAAAGTGTGTAAAGATTGGCTCCAGTTCTATCTTTTGCCACCAAGCTTTCTGAAAAATAACATTGGTTTGTGAACTGAGGTCCTTCCATCAATATTATCCTGCCCCATCAGATTCAAACAG